AGCCCCAGCCCCAGCTCCAGCACAGTGCCCGACTCAATGCAGGCCCCTGTAAGTGCATGGGGAGTGATGAGTGTTAGTAATGTCAGTCATCGTGATGCAAAGATTCCCTTGAGAACCTTTCTCTGGGGCTACAACAGCTTTTTGAACTCCCTGTCCTCCAGAGAGGTCTCTGTTGACAATCTCCTGGGGCCCTAGCATGGTGGGTAGGAGTGTCTCTCACCAGTGGGCTCCCTTGGGCAAGTCTTCAACCTCCTCGCACCTCAACTTCCTTATCTGTAAAATGGGATAACTATGGCAGCTTCCCCACTGGGCTCTTGTGAGGAATAAATGTGCACAGGTTACTAATGACTACCCTTCTTATTATCACCCAGTCATCACTCATTTGTTGAGCACCTACTGTGGGCTGGACCCTGGGATACAACAGGGAACAGGTAGGCAGTGTCGGGCCTCCCACTCAGTGCTTAGCACGGTCCTTGGGACCCACTGAGGACACAGTATGTGGCAGCTCTGATTATTGCAGCTGCTGTTAAGACCTGTGTCCTCTCCACACGGCCCTCACAGGGCCGACCCAGGAGGTCCACGAAAGAGGAGACACGTAAGATGAACCCCCAAACACAGCTGCTGAACCATTCGGTCTTTGTGGGCTCTTTGCAAGCTGGGACATCAGCTGTGCCCTCAGCCTGGCAGGTTCTAATTTATACTAATGGATGTTTTCAACACCCCCTGACAGTTGAGAAGGTAGCATTAGGGAGGACTGGTAAACATGAATTAGAGAAGATCTACCTGCAGAGGGAAAGTGGTAGTTGGGCAGCGCCTCCCTTCCAGCCCCTGGGCGGGTGTGGCTGAGCTGAGCCGGGCCACGCGGGCTTGGGGCAAACCCCCAGGCCTCAGAGACGTGGCATAGGCAGGGGGTCTGCTGTGTGCTGTGCGTGGGACAAGTGCTTTATATTTATTATCTTGTGAAATCATTTCAATAGCTCCTGTGCCTGGCACAGAGTAGGCACACAGGACATAGTCATTCATTTGATGACCACTCAGAGCGTTGGGCCGGGGCCGGGAGGCGGGAGGGAGGATGTGTTAGGGATGAGTGGCGTCTCCAGGGCCCTTGCCAGTCTATAGGGAGCCCCTATAAGAATCAGGAAAAAGTGGCCCTCTGCGGGGACTGCCCACAGGTGCAGGGCTTGGCATGTCTGTGGCACTTCCAAGTGGGAAAAGGTGCCCCTTTTTAGGAGTGAATGCAGCCCATGCCAGGACACTCTGTTGGGTTTTGGTCCCCTTGGCTAAGTGGGCAGCCCTGGTGATCTGAGTGGATGGCTGCCCCAGGCTCTCTGTCCCTTCACCCTGAGTTCCAGCACACCCAACCAATGAGTGTATCCACGGCTCAGTAGGGACACGGTCACCAGAGAGTGAGGGCTGGGAGGAGAGATACCCTGAGGAGCTGTTCCAGAGAGCGTGGGTGTCCAGGCCCATGGCTCAGAGAGAGGGTTGGAGATGGGACAGGACCCTCCACAAGGGTCCCAGCCCCTGGCAGCAGGGCTGGCTGAGATGAGGCTGGGGAGGGGTCCACTTCTCTTATGAACCTCGGAGCCCCACCTCTGACCACGTGCCCCATCATGGAGACGCCTGTTTACTCTCAAGACCAGAGGGGCTCATCTATGCTGGAGGTGTGTTCCAGGCCTTGGGAACCACCCGAGAGTTTGCCCGGAGCCTAATCAACTGCAGCTAAGGCTGATAAACCCCATGTCAACAGGTCGGCTTAAACAGGCTTTTCCAGAATTGATTTTCTGACCATACAGCCTTCACAGTCAAGCTGAGGGATGAAGGAGATGACGCCCAGGAGTCTCAGCCACTGGGAGGCAGGGGATTTGCTCTCTGAGTTTGGGCTTCAGTGCCACCCCACCAGCGCCCAACCCTTGTGGGAGCCCAGGTGCTGTTGTTCAGGGCATGAAACTGAGTGCTGGGGATATGTGGCCAGGAAGCTTGGGCTGCTCCTCAGAAATCTGCTGTGCAACTCTCTAGGAATTTCCCTCTCTGCCTTCGGCAACTGTAAAAGGAGGCAGTTGGTTCAGATCAGGGGTGTCAAATAGGTTGCCTCTTAATGTCAATGATCTGCTATTAGAGGCCGCCTGTGGACTTGGAGCGGAGGAGTGCTGGGGTTGGTGGGTGATGCCTACCATGGGAGTGGGCAAGGAGGCAGGCAGCAGGTGTGCCTGCATGTGCCACCTTCCCAGCAGAGGACACCTGAGTGTCTGTTCAGCATCAAGATGCTGTGACTCTGTTTCCAATTCAGAGGATGACTCAGGAGGCTTCAGGTAGCTGGGGTTCGGGTGTAGGGTGAATGGTTTGTGTTCATTTTTACAGTAATTCCACAGTGCACTGGGCCTCCCAGGCCTTTGGATCAAGTGAAATCCCTTTCCTGGAGCTGCATTCCTGCTTGGTCGCCATGTGTCAGGGGGAGGGGGAGGCATGGTGGTGCTGCCTCTTGGAAGGCTTTGGACTAGATGGGGAGGTTGACCCATTCCACCTTGGCCAAGAGAGTTCACCTCTCTGAGCCTCAGTTTCCTCATCTATGAAATGGGGATAATTACAGCACCTACATAGGACTGGTGAGGATTGCATGAGGTGCCTGTGAAGTTCTGAATACATTGTCCAGCACACATTAGGCACTCCGTTATTGTAACTATCATCATCATCATTACTATCTCTCCCTTCCACCTCCTCCGCACCCGGGGAGCTGGGTCCGTGCTGTTCAGACACCTGCAGTGCCCAGCTTTGGAGGTGTCAGCATTCCTGCCCTCCCAGTGCTCTCTCCACTCTCCACTCCTTACGTCCCTGACTCTGCAGTCAAGGTCTCCACTGGAGCCCCAGCATTCCTGCCTCTGGGCCTTTGCATAGGCTGTTCCTGCTTCCACAAGGAATAGCTGAAGAGTCACCTCCTCCCTGATGCCTTCCCTGACCCCATCCCATTGGCAAGGGTGGCCCTCCTGGAGCCCAGAACACTTTGCCCCACCACTCTTGGCACAGTTGGCACTTCTACCCCAACAAATAGTCAGCACCCCCTTCTGTCTGCCTCTGGGGCCCCTGTAGTGCCCCGCGTGGTACTGGTATGGCTCTTTGAAGTGGGAACCATGAGCCAATCGTAGAGTCATTGCCATGGTGATAACAAGCACCCCCCCACCCTTCATAGCTCCCAGTGGGTGGGGGGAGTTAGAGAGGGGGAGGCAGCGGTGCTGGGCCAAGTGTTGAGACAGGTGAGGCAGGGACAGGCACAGTCCAGACTGCAGAGGGAGGACTGAGGGAGGGGGACAACTGAGCTGTTCTTATCAGCCTGAGAAGGGTCATTGCCACGGGGCTCAGGGGCTTCAGAAGACACATTGAGCTATGGGAGGAGAGAGCCAGATAGGTTCTGGAAAAGGAGATTTTTCTGGGACCTGCAGGGCTGGGACTGGAGACCCTGGGTCATCTCATTCTAAGGCAAAGTGGTGCAGGGGAGGTACTTACGGATCTCCGTGGGCCTTTGACCTGTTGGAGAGAAGACCGAATCTGGTTAGAGAGAAGGGGCTTTGGGCCCTCCCTTCAGGATGGAGGTTGGGGGCTGGGGGCTAGAGAGTGGGAAGAAGGGAACTGAGAGTGGTGTCAGCCTGGCCGAGCAGAGTCCCCCTCCTATGGCGGGTACTGAAATGAGCTAAAAGTCCCATCTCACTTGCTGCTGATACCCTTTCAAACACACACGCAAACACATACACAAATATACGCACATACAAGCATATACAAATATGAACACACATGTACACACACACAAAACATACATGCAAACACACACATACCTGCACACACATGCACAAACACAAGCATGTACATGTACATAGACACATGCAGATGCACTAACACATACAAAGGCACACGTGTCCACTCATGTACACATGAACATGCAGACACACAGAAACACACGTAGATGACTCTCTCATGGTTAAAGAGAAGCGGGGCTCTGTTGTGAGACCCACCGGAGTTTGAGCCCTGCTCCTGGCTGTGTGACCGGGTGTGAGCTCCCTTTGACTTCACAGGGGAGCCATCACGCCCGCTCTCGCAGTCTGTGAAGATCCAGTGGGGTCAAGCTGTGAGGGTGCAGCCCAGCACCTGGCACCTAGCTTCAGTGAAGGGCCGGAGGGCGTGGCTCGTGCTGGTCAGCATGTGGGAGTGTCCCTTTCTGACTTCCCCCAGCACCGACTGTCCGCGCTGGGCCTTAGGGCCCGTGGTCACTTCCTGACGTCTCGTGTGCACTGTATCCTGGTTATTTCTGGGGTTCCATGTTAAGTCTCCCACCATACTGGCAGTGAGTCCTAGAGGGCAGGGCCCCCAGTGGCCACAGACATTCTTGGGGTGGGAACTTTCCTTTTTTGGGGGACCCCCACACTGAAACACTTTCTGTTTGGTCATCAGGGGGCTGTTCATCCTGGAGTGCCCCTTCCCCCTGCCTCCAGGACTCCAGGAGTAGGATGGGACCCCTGCTGGGCCAGTCATAATTGCATTCCCCTGGGACAGTCCTTCCCTGGGCTTGAGGGAGAAAAAAATGCTTCTTTCAGCTCAGCGGGAAGATGAGCATCTGGAGAGATGTAGCCATCACTCCTGCCTTATAAAGCTACCCATGGAATGAGGTTAAGTAGCAGCAAGCAGAGCCCAAGGACATAGAGACTCTGGAGACTTTGTGGGGCCCCCTAGATCTAGCCACACCTGAAGCCCAATATCTATGGACTCCCCAATTATATGACACAAGACATTCCATTATATTTAAACTAGAATTGGGTTGGTCCCTCCCACCTGAAAGAACTCTGCCCAGTTTGCCAGGTAAATCAGGAGTTCTTAATTTCCTGATTTCTATGCTATGGGCCCCTATGGTGGCTCGGGAAAGTCTATGAATAAATTAATTCCCAATTCTCTTGACACACTTAGTACCTCCTATTGTAACAGACTGCAAGTTATTAAATCATGAAATAAAATAGATTGGATTAGAAAGGAAACCAACTGTATATTAATATATAATAAAAATATTAGAAAATAAATGTGTGCTTTAGTAATATTGCTTCTATATTATGCATTAACTACAAGTGGGGTCTGTGCAACTAGGTTAGGAACCTCTAAAGTAAGTGAGTGTTACCTCTTCCTGTGCCCAAACTCTAGTGGGTTTTGATGGTCACTTTTCCCATTGGTACATTTCCTGCCATTGTAAGCATTTCTAGAGACTCTGGATCATGTTAATGCACTCTCATTTTTGTATATTTTGTAATTAAGTCTGTCTCCCCAGCTCAGACCATGAGCTGGGGTCATGTGTTCCTCACTTCAGGGTCTGGGACCTAACACAGAGAAGTCCCTTGATGATTTTGGTTGGAGGTGTTGATTTATCAAACAACTTCTGGCGTCTCCTTTCAAACACTGTCTCCTCTCCCACCTCAGGCTGGGGCTCTCTCCCCTAGAGGATACTCCTGGTCTTCACTCTTGCCCTTAGCTTCCATCACTGACCTGGGCCCATCTCCTCCAAGGCCATCAGCACAGCCCAGTCAATCTCTGGTCTGTAAAAGCTGTGCCCCGGGCCTGGGGACATGGTGGCCACCATGCATCTGTATAAACCATCCTGACCTGGGTATGAACCCTGGTTGACAAGTGGATGAGGTAAGGGACATCTGAGACTCCACTGTGGGGAGTTTGTGTTAAAGACAGCATGACTGGCTTCTCACTGCTGTGAAGCTATGAGCTGACCTGGGCCACTATATGTTACTATGTTTGACTGTGTCACTGGAGGTGGTTCTTGGTCTTTGAAGAGGACAAGTTCAGAGGCATAAATCCCTCCCCTTTATCTCCTTCTTTTGACAGGATTTGGATCTGGGAGACTTGGGTTCCCATTCCTATTCTGACATCTACAAGGGGGAATTTGGAAGCTTCTCTTTTCTCAGACCACATGCAGTCATGCATGAGTCCACTCCACAGCCACAACATGGAGCACCCTACGGGGCATTTGTGTAGATTAAATGAGACCATGGGTGTAAAGCAGCTAGCATCCATCACTCATCCAACCCCCATCCATCACCCATCCATCATTCATCCATTACCCATCCATCACCCATCCATCATCCACCCCTCCATCCATCCATCTATTCACCCATCCAACCATCATTCATTCATCCGTGTATCACTCACCGATCCACCCATTTTTCTTTTATTTATTGAATGTTTACTGAGCATCTGCTCTGCACCAGGGGTTAGAGAGATGGATGTACACAAGGTAAACTTCCTGTCTTCAGGAAGTTTACATTCCAGAGGGTGGAGATAGACAACAACCAAGTAAACAAATAAATAAATGACATTGATGATAATGCTCTAAAGGAAATGGGCTGACATGAAAGAGGCTAAAGTGGGAGGAGGAGGGAGGAGCTATAGCTGGGTGGTAGGGGATGGCATATGAAGAGGTAACATTTGAACAGAGGCCTGAAGGCTAAGCGGAGCTGGCCAAAGGGAGATCTGCATGAAGAGGGCCCCAGGAGGAGGGAACAAGGTTGGAGGGAGGGATAGATGCTCAGCCCCTTCCTTAGCCCTGGTCCACAGGCCCTGCCCCTTGCAGTGAGCTGCACTCACCTAGCCAGCGGGGCAGACGGATGGCTTTCCTGCTGATGTAGCTGTAGTTGTGGATTAAGATCAATGAGATAATCAGGACAAAGATGAAGGACAGGAAACGAAACAGTCCTGCAGAGCAAGGAGACACTGACATGAGCCCACAGCACCAGGCCACATCGCAAGGTCATGTAGCGAGACTCCGTGTGAGTCCTTGCCAGATCCCCAAGGGAGACCACGTCGCGAGACCCCACGTTGTAGGTCCACACCACGTCCATACTGTGGACCAGTCCAATGGGCCCACGAGGAGAGAGCAGTGTGAACCACATGATCATGAGAATGGTGAGATCACGCAGCAAAATGGTGGGCTGCATTCCCCCAAGTGGGACCACAGGGAGAGAAAGTTAGACCACACCTTCCTGGAGCCCTCCAGAGAGAAGCTCTAGGGGTGAGGCCTGGGAACACGCGGCAGGAGGGCAGGAGGTGGGCTCTGCTGCAGACAGCCCTGGAGCTGAGCCCTGCCACAGGGGTCGGGGAGGCCACGGCCAGTGCTCGGGGCAGCCATCCACCGCTGTGTGACCTTGGATGGGAGCTTGTCCTCTCTGACTTGAAGTCCCTCAGCCACAGAGTGGACGTGGTAACACCCTTGCCACTGAGCCCATGGCTTGCAGGCAGAAATGTGATAGTTGTCACCAGTAGGCGGCCTCCAGGGTGACTTGGGGAGTGGGGTTTGTCCCCTTACATTTGCCATCAACTCCCCTTGATAGCCAATCAAATAGCCATACACAGCTCTGTACAGGACACACACTGGACTTGCTGAGGTGGCCTCCCCTGTCTCACAGAAAGATTGCTGCCGGATGCCCTCCCATCAGTGGGGAAAACCCCGCACATGGGATGGACCACCCCGAGCTCCTGGTCCTGCTCTTTGCTCTCCATGAGGGTGAGAAGCGGGCTCCAACACACCTCCCTGCTCAAGGACTCTGGTGGCTCTGCTGCCTTCCGAGTCTACTCTCACCATCAGGCAAGTTCCTTCACTCCTCGCCTGACCTCCCTCTCGGCATCTCCCTTCTCCTCAGCCCTGAATTCAGCTCTGTGGCCTTGTGCTGGTCTCAGGCTACGTGGGGTGGGCGAGAAGGCCCCCTGGATCCTGTGGGGTAGAGCGCGGGTGTGCGGGGGCCCTCATCTTTGAGGACACAGTGTGGGGTAGGCACCCAGGATTTCTCTTGGGGATCATATTACACACTCTCGTTTTGTGCCAGGCACCGTGCCAACAGCTTTTACATGCGTTATCTCAGTTCATCCTCACAGAAACCCTGTATTGGATCCTACTGATTATTCCTATTTTACAGACTAGAAAACTGAGGCTCAGAGAGGCGGTCACTTAGCTCATAAATGATAGACGTGGTATTTGAACCCAGGCCAGTAAGCTGACTTTGTGACTTGTGCTCTTAACTCCCTCACAGCTGTTTTGGAATGTCAGTGACTTGTGCTCATTTCCTATTTGGTGCCTCAGTTTCTCTATCTGTACAAAGGAGGTACAGCCTGAAGGTGTAGACTGGAAGGCAAAGGCTTCTTCCTCATGCTCAGCCCTATGGCATGAGGATCCTAGTAGAGCCTTCCTTGAAGCAAATATTTTGCCCCTAATTTCCAACCAGGGTCAGGTGTTTCTGAGATTAGGACTCCCCATGTTCCCAGCCAGGTTGGGGTCCCTGCACCAAAGTTTTCCTAGCCCTTCAGCCTAGAGGCAAAGTCACCTCTCCCACTCCTCCAGGCTCACCCTGGATTGGCTTCCTCCTGTGATTCTGGCCTGACCACTTGAGAAAGATACAGCTAAATGACCTCCGAGTCCAGAACAGCAGACACTGCTGACAGAAAATGGTTCCCAAACCAATCTCGGACCTCAACCTTGAGCCCTAGAATCCTAGAGCCCTACCTGATACTCTCATCCTGTCCAGGTGAGGAGTGGCTTGGGCTCAGCAGTAGCCTGTGGAGAGAAGAAAATCAAATTGGAAACTGGTGTCTGGGGTCTGAGCGTGAACAAGACTGAAGATTAGGGACGGGTGTCTCTAACTGAGGTCACCGTCCTTTCAGAGGTTCCTCACCATCTGCCATATGAACAGAGGAGCAGTTTTCTTTTTTCCCCTCTCTGCCTCCACCTCTCCTTCACTGGAATTTTATATTGAACATGTCTTTTTCACATGTAGAGATTAGAAAGTAGAGTAAGGTGCAGTGTGTCAGCCACAGTCTCTTGGAGAATTGATTTCCGCATCCATCTCCATCCATCCATCCATCCATCCATCCATCCATCCATCCATCCATCCACTCACCACTTATCCATCCATCCATCCATCCATCCATCCATCCATCCATCCATCCATCCACCCACCCACCCACTTGTCCATCCATCCATCCATCCATCCATCCATCCATCCATCCATCCATCCATCCATCCATCCGACTATCCATCCAGTCACCGAGAGACACTGAACTAGCTAGCCCCATGGAAACCATCGGGGACCAGGACTTAGGAGATCTTTGCTGATGTAGCAAAATGAAGAGCAATCAGGACCCGAGTTACAGGTGAGTTTGTGCTGGGTGCCTTATATGCATTATCTGCTTTACTCCTTACCCCACCCCCGCATTTTTGGGGTGAGTAACTAAGACTCACCATCATTAAACTCAAAGTTACTCAGCTCGCAAGTGTCAGAGTCAGAATCTGGATGCCGGTCTCTGGCTGCCCAGTCCCCAAAGGGTCCCACTGCCCCTGCCTTGTGTCAGAGGATAGTTGAAATGCCTGGCAGGGGATGATCATCCTTGGGCCCACCTCTCCCCTGTGCCAAGCCCCAGAGGCTAGGCAGTTACCAGTGATCGGGCAGCTTTGAAAACCCCAGCAGGGCTCTGGAGATGCTGGGGAGCAGACGGGGCCTGAAGATAACTGTCCCAGGTCTCAGATCCCACAGCCAGATGAGGGCTTCTGATGGCCTCTGAGGGCAGTGACTTGCTCCCACTACTCTTCCCACCCCCCACCCATCCTGGAATCTTCTTTACCCCAAGAATCTATCTCAACAGACATAGTGTCCAAAGCCCAACCGCCAAGGATCCAGATATGAGCCAGGGGCCTTAAGATTGAGGTGGCTGGGCTGGGTCTGTCCTTGATATTAAACAACAGCAGTAGCAAAGGCAAATCCATATCCCCTCTTGAGAATTATAGAAAATCCTCCACTGTCCTGGCCCTACCTGTCTAGGGCCTTCTAGGTGAGAAAGCTGAGCTGTGATCTGGCCCCACCCATGGAGATTTTGTAAAAGTTAACTTCCTGAAATTCAAGTGACCAACTTTTTTATTTCCATAAAAATATATTATGCTCTTGAATGTCCTTGGGGTGACCTCTATAGTTGAGGAGCCCAGGCGCCTGGATGAGGCCTGAAGGGCATTGTGTGGGGTCCCCTGTGCGGGGACTATTTAGGATAGCTGGGGGTGGGCAGGATGGAAGGACATGGACAGGTTCAGAGAGAAGGGAGAGGGGGGTAGACAGACGAATGGACAGACGTGGGTATCCCCAGGGGGTATGCACAGGGACAGAGACTAGAGACACAGATGAGGAGAGGGGGGAGGGGGAGGTAGAGAGAGAGGGGCAGAAAGAGAGAAAGCACAAGGCAGAAGAGACAGGGACAAGGAGGACAGAGGGAAAACGAAATGTAACCTGTGGACAGAGAAAGAGAAGAGACAGAGGGTGGGGCGCATACCGGGGCAGGGAGCTAGTGTCTCGCTGCCATGCCCCTGCCAAGCAGGGACTCTGGCTTCAGAGCAGGGGCAGGGGAGGGACAAGGGCAGTGAGGGCTCTCCCAGCCCAGTGTCCCTCCTGGTGAGTCCCCGACCATCCACTCAGCACTTGCAGAGCTCTCTGCTCCCCCGAGTCCCCGAATGGCTCACCTTGCCAGCCCGTAGGGGCTCTGGAGTTGAAGCCCAGGACTGGTCTGCTGGGGGTGGGGAGGGAGGGAGGATGGCCCCTGGGACAGGCATGCAGGCCGGGTGGGACAAGAATTCTCTCTGCAGCCACCCAAACTCCAAACAGTTTCTTTCCTCCCTGTTTCTGCTGAGATGTCCCAACCTGTTATTCAGGTTAGGAAGGTCTGGGGCAAGGGCACAGGGAGAGACGTCCTCCTGCCCTCCCTGTGTGGTTGCTTGATGGGCCAATCGGAGTTTTTCCTTGGATGGGTTTATGGAAACTGGGGGAGAGGCTGTTTTCCCCTGATGATGCTAAGCTAGACGTCAGTAAGTCCGGGGCTGCTGAAGCCTCCTTCCCAGCCATTACAGCACATCGCCTCCTGTTGCAGACAAGTCCCACCAGAAGATGCAAATGCAAGGGCTTGAGCAGTGGGGCCTGTGGGTGTGGCTTTGGTTCCAAAAGAATCGGGCAGCACAAGGTCCGTGATGCTGGGAAAGAGGACGGGCTTCGTGATCAGACAGGCCTGAGCTTGCCACTTACTAGTTGTGTGTTTTGGGCCTTGGCTCCCTCTTTTGTAAAATGAGGGTGATGCTATTCACCTGTTCTGAAAGGGGCGTGCGGCAGGGAGGCACCTGTCTAGATGGGGCTTGCTGGCCTGCTGACATCCTCCTGGCTCCTCCCTGCTGGCAGCCCTGCCACCTGCTGCTTTCTGCTAGTGCACCTCCATGGCAGGTTCCCACACGGATGTTTGTTCTCTCTGCAGAACCAAAATGCCATCACTGTAGCTTGCTACCTGGCTGCTTGTGACATTTCTTAATGACCCCATAGGAGCTGGGACACCAGCTTCCTTCTGTTTCCTGGAGCCCCCTGTACAAAGGGGCCTTCCAGGTCAACCATGACCTGCCCCAGAATCAAGCTGGGTGGGGAGAGGGTTACTCTCTCTCTAGGCTGGGAGGGTTGAGGGGACCACCTTGGTGGAGAAATAAGTGGGTATTTCCCTGCTTAAATCTGGTCTGTGCATCCCATTGCTCTCAGGATAAAGGCCCAAGTACTTCACGTGGCTTATGAGGCCCTGCAAGATCTGACCCCGAATGAGGGTGACCTTGCCAACCTCATTACCTGCTACCCCTACTCCACACTTGCTCTAGCACCCAGAACTGCCCTGAGGGAGGCTCTCCCCCTCTCCAGCTTGGCACATGCTCTTCTCTCCACTTGGACTGCCCTTTCCTGCCTCCTTCCCTTGGGCATTTCTCCCTTGTCTGCCGGTCCTTACCCAGCATGCCTTTGCTGTTGGAAAGACAACACTCCAAAGCTGTTTCCTAGCTCATCCTGAGGATCCAGGGTCAGCACTAGCCCTAAGTCCCAGGTAAAATGGAAACTGAGCTCTGTGAACAAGCTCTGCACTTTTCCCAACATGGGCATTAGCCAGAGGTTCCACCTGATGTTACCAGGTCATTTCTAAGGGGCCAGAGAGTTCAGAGAAAGGGTTGCAAGTGGCAACAGCTGCAGCTTTATGGCTGGGCATTCACTAGCTTTAGTCCTTCAGTTTTTCCAGCACCTGCTGGCAGCCAGCTTTCCTCCTCTCTGACCCAGGCACACCTCAAATTACTGCCCAAATTCCAGAAAGCAGGAAGAGCCCATTTAGATACACCTGGGAGAAGAAATGGCAAACACATGGCATGCGTGCTGTGTCTTGGTCCCCATGTGCCCGTGGAGGAGGCTGAGGCCTGAAGAGGGGCAGTCACATGCCCAGGGTCTCACAGCTGTTCAGACAGAGCTGGGGCACACACCATCCACCGCAGGCAGCAGGTCCCAGGCTCGCCCTCGCCCATCACATCCCAACAAGGAAGGGGATGGGTGCGAGGGAGTTCTGCGTGCCCAGGAAAAAGCTTGATTGACTCTAGAAAAAAGGAGTCTTTCAATTGGAGCTCAAAGGATGAGCCTGCACTGAGAAACTGTCCTGACCTCAAGGATGCTGATTAAATACCACTGAGAGCTTGAGTTCTGCTTCATTTAGAACTTGAACATTCGGGGCAGGATGGCAAATATGGCATCTGTGCTGCCACTCTGCGGCCCCAGCCATGCCAGGCCCCACGAAGCAAGCAGAGCACTTTTTTGGCCGAGAACAGAAGAGGGTGCAGGTTCTTTCCCAGGATATTTGTCATCCAAGGAGTGGGGCCTTCTCTGTGTGGAGCACAAGGCCAGTGGGTTGGAAATGGGTCCTCCCCATAGCAGCAGCCTCCATGAACCAGAGGAAACACAGTAGATGTGGCTGAGGCCTCCTTCTCCCCACAGACAAGCCTGAGATGTCACAGGGGTCACACCCTGAGCAGCACTGAGCCCTTCGAGTCTGCTTGGACAGGAGTTATTTGGGGATCTCTATGACATCTTAAAAAAAAATCCTACTTAATTATTCATCCTACAGTATTTCCTGAGAATCTCCTCTGAGCAATCACTATGCTGGGGTGAGGGCTGGGGCAGGGAACCAAGGTTCACCCCTACTAGAAACACAGTGTAAATGGCCATGGTGCAGCAGGATAGGTGCTCTAGGAGGGGTTCCTTCAGGGGACCTCCTGGCCTGGGGGCTATCAGAGAAGACTTCCTGGAGGAAGTGACATCTAGGGAGATGACGTTCTCCTGGAAGGTGTTCCAGGAAGAGGAAACAGTATGTGTGGAGGCTCAGAGGAGAGAGAGAATGTGGTACTGTGATGGTAGAGTACAGAGTGAATTATTAGGGTCTTAAGGACTGGGGGAATGGCCTTGGGCTTTGTTCTGAGGGCGATGAGGGGGCGCAGGAAGAATTAAACAGGGTCAGCGTGGAGGCAGCTCTTCCCCCAAGAAGCCTTCTCTGAACCCTGGCTCCTGGCCCTTCCCTGGCACTCCAGTGATCCTCCCATTAAGGAACCCCGTCGTTCCCTGGTCAGCCCTGACTTGGGGGCTGGCCTCCCTTCCAGGCAGCAGCTCTCAAGTGCCCTCCTCACCCACATCCCTGGTGCCGACACCAAGGCACACAGCAGATGTGCAGTAAGTGTTGTCAGGACGGAGAGGCTTTCTGCTTGGAAAAGAAAATAAGTGAAGAAAAACAGACAAAACGGGAGCTGCTCTGGTATCTAAATAGCTACAGTACTTCCTTTTTACCTCAGGCCTAACATTTGTCTCCAAAGCTGAACTCTGTCCAGAGGATCTGTTTAGACATTAGGCTCTAACTCCTTCCTCTGGAAATTCCAGCTCAGGCCATTTTTCTCACCATCCCTGGAAATTCTGTGGATTAAAATGTCACCAAAGGCAGGGGGCACTATCTGGTTTCCCACTGGCTTCTTTCTGTTCCTCCGTGCATGGCAGGGAGTCATTGCACAGGAGAGTGGGGGTGGAAACTGCAGAGTTTTTTCTGTCCTGAGTTTACAGCCATCGGAGCCCAGGCCTGTGTCCGGCCCTTTATGTAAACTCCCAGTATTTATAGGCAGTGATTAATCACGTCCCCAATACAGAGGGAGATAAACTGAATAAACCTATAAACAATAGGCTAGTGGCTCCAACAGTTTGTCCCAGTGACATTTATTTCAGAAGGAAATAAGCCCATTATTTCCATTATGCCCTGTTTTAATTTTATTTATTGGTTTTCATGCTTTTCTCCAGCTCTGGCCAGCAGCAGAATTTTTGGCCACACAGGGCCACACAGCAGGAGACGCAGGAAAATGTGAAGAGACAGGATTCTCAGGGCTCCTGCCCACCAAGTTCCTGAAATGTTCTCCAGACTAAGACAACAGGCACTGGGGTGAGACCCTGCCTTCTTTTAACTAACTTAATCCTACAGCAGCTCAGTGAGGAGTTTGGGGAAACTGAGGCACAGAGTCAGAGGAAGAAACGGTCTCAGAGACCAACCTAGGCAGAGACGAACCCAGGAGCCCACTTTCTCAACCACGCTCTGTTCTACTTCTCTGGACCAGGGCTCAAAAGTTTTCTAGAAAGGACCAGAGAGGAGATGCTTTGGGTTTTGTGAGCAGTATGTTCTCAGTCACGACTACTCAGCTCTGCCATTGTAACAGGAAAGCAGCTGTGGACAGTATGGAAATGAAAGAATGTGTCTGTGTTCTAATAAAACTTTATCAAAACAGGTGGAGGGCTGGATTTGGTTGTGGCCCGTAGTTTGCGGACCCCAACTCCAGGTGCGGCCCCTCTTAGCCTAAGGTGGACATGAGCCCTGCTCCCTTTGCCGGGCTTCAGCCTGAGCCTGCCTGGGTTGGGCGGAGCGGGAAGGCTCCCAAGGGATTAGAGCTCCTAGTATTCTGCCCCTCGGCCCTCCCTGCACCCCTGTCTCCTCGCAGGGAGGCTCCACCAGGCCCCTGCTCGCTCTGCAGGGCCCAGCGTCCTGCTCTCGGTGTCCACGTGGGTTTTCAGGGCCGACTTTGCCCCCAGTGCACCTGACTAGATTATCGCCTGCAGGTGCTGCAGTGCCCAGCCCCCGGGAAGCCCCCAGTGAGTGGCAGCTCGAGCCATATTTGCACCTTTGGGTTTGCAGAGGTTCCTCTGGCTTGGGAACTGCAAGTCCGTATAATATTAAGACTGTTAAGAGTGGGAGCTTCAGAGCACCATCTGGGTGCTGCCATCTGTCTGCGGACATAATCCTCTCTCAGCCTCAGTTTCCTCGTCTGTACACGGCCATCACAATCTTGAATTTAGTGAAGATTAAGTGAGAGAATGTACCCAAGGAATACGGCGTGGAGGAAGTGCTCCTGACAGTTAAGCGAGCAGCCCCTTGCTCTCTCCCTGGGGATGTCCCCTGTGCCCTCCATTCTCCCTCTCAAGGAGGCAGAGGTCTGTCTGTCCAGGGTGAGAGAAACTGCGCTCGGATGGGGAGGGGCTTCTCCAGGCTCTGACGGGGCAGCAGGTTGTCTGGCCAAACGTGCGGCCTGTTCCCCTCCAGCACTGGGGTGGGAGGGGGAGCGAGGGTGGGATGATCCCGGGCTGCTGGGCATCTTCGGGTTTGTGCCTCTTTGCTGAGCGCCTGACTGACTGTGGG